GGTTTGAAGAAAAATCAATGTAAGACAAAGACGCAAGAATTGTAAATAGAGACGTGGAGGTGTCGTGAGGTAGGTATGGAGTAGATGCGCGATGGAAAAGAGCTGCGATAATAAGACGTGAAGAATAAGTTTGAATGAGGTACGAAAGAGGTGGAGAATAGAGATTGGCGAAGTTTGAAGGAGGAGGCTTGAAGGATTAAGAATTTAGTTGTTAATGAAATAACTGAAAAAACACGTGCAGGAAATGAGATCGTGACCAAACGAGTGGAAGGGTAAATAAGTCGTGAATGGGGGAAGTGAAGAAGCATGAAGGTGTAGAGCGTTTGGTGAAAACTGTAAAGGGATGTGGGGAAGTGTTTGAAAAACGGTAAGGATATTTAAAAATGACTTGGAAGAAAAAGACATAAAGTAAAAGGCGACGAAGAAACTTTAAAGAAAAGAGGTATAAAGAAAGGCGTAAAACATACAGGAAGAAGACCTGCAGAAACAATGCATTAAGGAAAGAGATCTAAAGAAATCATGACGGAGGTATTAAAGAGGTTTAAAGTAAGTGTAAGTGGTAAAAGGACGGTATGTGAAAGAAAGAAGCGTAAAAAGAAAGGATGCGTGGTGGAAACGGAACTCCAGGAGGAAAGGGAAAAGAAAGGATGAAACAAGTGTTAATAAGGTAGATCCAAAAGAGGAAGCCGTGAAGACAAAACACGTGAAAATGACCATTAAATTTGAAGAAGTATGCAAGAAATCGTGAAAGAATCAAACAAAATCTCGATGATGTGTTGGCGCAGCAAACCTCAAAAAAACGGTCACTTTTATGCGTTCTCGCGCTGAAATAGTACTTAAATGTTACTTTAAAAAAAAGCTTAAATAATGTAGATTTAAAACAAGCTTTAAGTTGATACCAGGTTCATTAAAATTGGCTAAAGGGTTATTTTCCTATTAAGCTTCAAACTCGACCGTACATACTTTTTAATTCGACTAGCAGTGGTTGCTATTTAAAAAATATTTTTTCTTTGACAATGCAGAAGTACGCCACTCACCACAAATTTCAAGTGCGTGCCTTTGTATAATTTTAGATAACATAAAAAGCTTCTTTAAAAAAAATTTTATTTTGAAGCTATTCCAGACAAAATGTTCACCCTGTATACCAATTACACTACAATTGCATTCTCTAGTCAAAATCAAAATAAAAGTCGCTTATAAAAGGAACGAGTAATTCGGCTCGGAAAATGTACCCCTGAAAGCTCTTACTCAAAATATTCCCACGTACTTTAAGAATAATTCAGGCTCAGGAAAACTTCAAGAACGTTGCACGTGTTAATTGACACCTTGGGCGATTATTTTTAGAGACAAGTATGCAGAAGAAGAGTTCGATTCCACCGATTCTTCTGAGAGAAATAGCTGCAGTAATTATTGCTAATTTCGTTTTGCTTCAAGGTTTAAGGGGGCGTATACAAAAAGTATAAAAGCGGTCTTGCGATTTTCACCATTTTATTTTCCAGTTTCGAGGTAAAAAAAATGAACTTCTGTTATCCAGCGATGGTAGCTAAAGGTTTACCTTGTGAATGAAGATAAATTTGATAACAAATTATTATCAGTGTGTGATAAAAATGAAAGATATACACTGTGTGAACTGTTACCAAGATAAGGATGTCTATCATTGGGGATCTCCGAAACCATATAAAAGATACGACAATGGTCAAGTTAGACAAAAAATGCACACTTAAAAGGTTATTAAGAAAATCAGAACATTCCGACTACTCAGAGATAACTCAGAAAAAGTAGAAAATGCTACTCAATACAGTAGGTATGTACTTTTTTACGGGCGATATAAAAAATGAAGTGGATGATTTCTCCGAAACAAAACGTTGCATTGAAAATCTCTCAGCCCTGTCCTGTAGAACTCACAACGTGGTAATGAGAAAGTGGCTTTATTTTTTAGTATTTGTTCAAATAAAAACGAAATCAGCATATTTCTTCAGAAATAGTGGGAATTTTCTGGTTTTCTTTAAATTATGATAATAACCCTTTCTTTGCGCATATTTTCTCAAATTTGCCCATCGTCGTATCTTCTACGGTTTCAGAGCTTCCCATGATAGACACACTTATCTTGGACACAGTGTATATTATACAGGAACAGGGTGTTTCATAATTGAATGTCAATATTTAAGGGAGCGATTTTTGGGTCTATTTTAAAAAGAAAACTTCATAATGAACCTATGTCCTAACTTAACTTTTGAGATACAGGGTGGTAAAGTTTTCAAAAATAAATCATTTATTATTAATATCTGTAATACCACTTTAGATATTTTAATGAAATTTGGCATGAATGTACTATGTATCCAGAGGCATTTTTTAACGTACCACATTTTTTTAATTTCCACCAGTGGCGTTCGTACGGAATTTCACATGCAGGCAATGATGGTACGCCACTGATTTCTCTGAAAATAAAATTTATTCTTGAAATCCCCAATTATTTCTAAGCAAATTTGATCCCTTTGATTTTTTCAATCCGATGCACGGTTTTCGCTTAAAAAAATATTTCAAAACTAATAAATAAGCACGACTTACGGAAACAACCAAGAACACATATGACATTACAGTGACTGTCGCTGTATATGACATGACAAAGCATGACATAAGTAAATAATTTGAAAGTTTGCCACAAAATGGCTGCCTCGTACCACGTGATTCAGCAACCAATTAAAAATGAGACACCTATTGTCGCCACTGTCTTGTGTATAGAGTCACATATTTAAATTAATATTGCTCGCGCTACTTCTGCGTGTCATTGATAGATGTCTCTAGTAGTAAAACGTAAAACCTCGTTTTTCGCGGTTCCCGTTGCCAAATTTCTGGAAGTGTTTTACTAAACCAGAAACCTTCACGGTCATATATCCAACTATTCCCCAAAGTTTCACTGCAATCAGATGGGCAATTTAGGTAGGCATAAGAGACATACAGACAGACAAACAATCATTATTATTTATATAGACTACAAGAAATAGCAAGTCGTGCGGGCCTGTGCGAGATCCTTCATCAACGATCAACATTAGTCTCGTGAAATTTAGAAATTCTGAATGATATATAAAATTTTAAAAAAACGGAATCATCCAAGAATCGAACCCGATCCGCTCGTTTTCTACAAATCATATTCTAATGACATTCGGCATCGTTGTTGACCATAAGAGCCTATACTGTAAAGTCAAGGTGAGACGGACACCTGCGCAAGTGCGATTCTGCCCAAAAGCTGTGTTTCCGTCAAAAAAGTGGGGAGGGGGCATTTTTACCCCAATGCAATACCACCCTAACTAACGTGCAGGTGGTAAAAATAGGTGTAAGGTACTGGGTAATGGAGCAAAGCATAGAGGCCAAAAGGAGGACGTAAGAATTGTGAAAAGAGAGGTGGAGTGGAGGTGTCGTGAGGTAGGTATGGAGTAGAAACGCGATGGAATAGAGGTGCGATAATAAAACGTGAAGAATAAGTTCAAACGAGGTACGAAATAGATGTGAAGAAATTCTCAAAAAAGCATGAAAGAGGTGTACATGATAAAACACAACAACATCTAAAGGAAATACGAAGGCGAGAAAGTATAATGTCAAGGGGGGCATACTTTTTTAACGGAATGTACCTACCGGATCCGTGTAATTAACAACTTTAAGGACAAAGACTACATGATGTAGTCGGTAACATCTGGGCGCCATCTCCGAGCGTGTTATACTAACGTGGCGACATAATTTTTTTTGATATTTTGGTTAATTCTAAGCTACCGATTGTGAAAAGCAAAATCCAAAAATCCAAAGTTGTAGTGCCAATACCGGACAGACAGACAAAAAGTATGATTAAAAAAAAGACATTTCTGAAGGTTTTGGTTTTCTAGTAACGCAATGGCTACTATACGAATGTACACAGGGTAAAAATTTTGTGAGAAACACTGAATATAATATTTTTCTTCAAATCAACGTTTTTTGAATAAGCTTTTTATGGTATTCAAAATTTAAAAAACCAATACTTGAAATCCTGCATGGTCAAAAGGGGGCTTATTTTTTTAAAGCAATTTTCATCACAATACATTCTTAAAGAGTACACTTTTTGGACATAGCAGCATAAAAAACTTATATTACATAATCACATTTTAGAAAAAAATATTAAAGGAAACGGAAGACCTGTAAAGATTCAAGATGGCGGCCGTACTCAAAAACCATGTGTCAAAAAGAGTTTTGTTAATTATTGTTAAAAATGAAGATTACCTACTGTTAATTATTTACCAAGTACATAAAAGAATATGTCAAAATCTTTCAACTTTTTTTTCGTTAAACAATGTCACAATAGTGTGACAATTTTAGTATCCAATAAACAATTACATCATAATTTTAGAACCAATAATATTTAAAGGTAATTGATATCTGTTGTAAGTTTTTCGCACGTCCTTGAATGTATAGGTACAATATGCCAATTTGTTATGTAAATAACTGTTGATTGTAAACATTCCAATTTATATACTATGGCGTTTTTAATATTAACGTGTATTTTCGTCATTTTCGATATTTTGCTGATGTGATGTTTGGTCAACCAGTCGGCCACACAATTATTTTTCGCAACAGAACAGGCCATATAAAAAGTGTTGAGTTAGATGACTCTGTGTTCTTCTTCATTTTATTTAAGCGATTTTATTTTTCGTTTCTAAAACGTGTTGGGAACCCCTTTTCGGTCACCTCTTGAACGATCAAAATTTGATTTTACTGCATTTGTAATATGCACAGAATCATAATTATCAGACCACATTCACGAAATTCTTCACACGAACATTTACGTACTAAAAGGGTCCTTGGAGAAAAGCGTTTTTTTGATCCTATAGGCAAGTACATCACAAATTAAGAAGTAATTGCGGTTGTTACTTAATTTAACTAATTTTTAGACTAACCCAAAATTACCCCTAATCGTAAATGAGCTGGTAAGATTCTTGCAACTAGCTACATTGAAAATTTAAGGTTAAACTCACCCCACAAGATAACCTTCCATCTCCGAATATACGGGAAGTTCAATACACTCCATACAAATATTGCATGTAAAATGGAAAGAAAAACAACATTAAACCATTTCACATCGCGAGCAACATCAGGACCCAAGAGCTTAATTAATATACTTTGAAGTACGCTTCTTTTCTTAATCTCAACAGTATTATTCCTTTCAGACTCAAAAATCGGACCAGTTTGGCCAAGCATCCTGAAAAAATCCCACAGAATTACATTGAAAACCATTTCGTTCGCACCCACACACCTCAGCTTAATTTTAACAAATCTTCACAATCACGGCAACTAATTAGTTAATATTGCTATCACGACGTTTGAAATAATGAAGAGAAATGCCTATGTCTCCGTTACAAATTTCTCTTCAAACATTTCGCGCGCAGCTTAGCAAGTTTTAAATCTTGCATAAGATAACTACAATTAACGAATTATTTCTACAAAATTATAATCTTGAATTGCACCATTATAAAACAATTAAACGTTTTATATATGCACATATATGGATATGGCAAGGTTCCTTATATAAATTTGCGTTTGGCGGACAGTCAAATAATAAGTAAATTCAAGTACGCTTCTTTCTTTAGTGTTGTAGATGTTGACTTACTTTAGAATTCTCATACTTCGTATTTTCCATCCTTAAACTTAAAATGTACGAAAAAGTGTTAGTATAGTTTATGGTAACTGTTTCTGTCCCTTTACGCTAAAATCATTTTTAAACGTCTTCTGTATCGAGTGCAAAATTAGCATAGAATATTATGAAGGGAACGATTCAAATCAAGCATATCTTAAAAAATAGAAACAGACCACGTTTCCAAAATCCAAAATAGCTTAGAGCATTACGAACAATTTTGAGTTTCAGACCTTGGCCCATGACCCTGAAATGGACTAGTAAGAGGCAGACCGGACATTGAATAAAAAGGATGGGACCTTCCGTTTAGAGGGTGGAAAAGCTTTCATTGCTCAAATGAAAATTTGTATAAGCAGTTACATTAAACAAAATGATCGATCAACCTACTTTGGTCAGCTTGGGGATAATTTCCAAATTTGAACGGACTCTCTACGTATTTTCAACGCGTTGCTGATTTTTCAACAGGAAAATGTACAGAAACTTAATTTACTTATGATAATTTCATTACGAACACAGCGCTTCACTATTCAGCGTTTTTCCCTATCGTTCTTTCTCCTAAGCTAAACTTCACGAAATATTGTGGGGACGTAGTTAAGTAGGGATGAAGGAGGGTGCGTCTCACCATGTATAATGGGCTAGCTCCATTTACAAGGGTTGAAAACCCCTTTTGCATAAAATAAAATTGAATCTCTACGGCACTGCCAGAAATTCCAATAGAACAGTCAATTTTTCATTCTCCCACGGTGTATCGAAGCACCCCTTTTCCGCCCCGAAGTTCATACCCATAAGTAGTTATGACCGCACCGTACATTTGTTAAGTCGTTCAGCTTTGCTGACCACCCGGTATTGAGAAGCGCTTCGATACTGAAGAGTTCCAGAATGTAATTATATGCTCGAGAGCGAGTTTAAGTGTTTACATTTTTGTGTAATTCTTTATTTTACCTTCGTTAAGCACGCAATTTTAATGAGTTTATCAGCTTTCCAACCGTTCCGATAGGAATATTTAAATTCTTGTTACAGCAGCCGAAAATGAAATAACTAATATTTAAATGAGTGAATTGTAAAATAATTGTTATGTTGGGTTTTTTCACATGTACCTGGATACAAAATATTGGTTTAATTTATAAAAAGAAATACAAACGAAAAATTCGATGTCTATTTCATGATCATGTATCCTTAATTTGATCCATATCTAAATATTTTATCTTTACCACATAATTAATTACTGGTACATTCTTCTCTTTAAAATATACACAGCTCTGGATGCTAAACAAAATTTTAATCCAACCAAAAGAATGGTATTAGTGATATTAAATATAAAATTCCAAATCTAATGGAACAATGTAACTGAAATCCTTTGTTTGGATTTGGTCTTTATCAGTCAATACATGCAAGTACAGGGTGTCCTATTACGAATGTTACAGGTCATATCTGTGGAACCGTTAATTGCACAGCTTGGGGAAAAACTTTATTAACAAAAGCGGACAAAAGAAATCGCTGGAAATTATTCTTACTTGATAATAACATAATAATTATATCATTCTATTTGAAATTTTCAAGAAAACCTACAAAGTTTATGTCTACAACCATGAATCGTAGGCCCTCTAACAGTAAACCTAGAAACTTAAAACAATTTCCAGAGATTTCTCTTGTCTACTTTTGTTAAATACATTTTTTGTCAAGCTGTGCAATTAACGGCTCTATAGATATGGCTCGAGACATAGGACACTCTGTACTTCTCATAGGTCGATTTCTTCAGGAACATTTACTTCAAACAAAATTAATATGAAAATTCATGAAAGTAACCGGCTACTACTTTATGTAAGACAACAAATTTAAAATAACTCACAGTAATGGACTCTCCTTGAAAAATGCTGCTTCCTTTAGAAATATAGAAACATACTGATTGTTCACTACTACTTGGATAAATTCCACTCAATAATCCCACGTTTGAAATTTCTAGCGGAAACCTTTACACGTAAACGAAAGAAAATTTTCTTGTATACGACGTGGTACACGCCTGCTTTTATAATTTCACTAAAAAAAATGTTAACGCACCCAAATAGTACGTGTCGACTCTTCAAAATTCTAACTTCGTCTGCCGAAATCCTTACATATCGCTACACTTTTATCAAAAGCGTGCACGTTATTATCGCGAGACATACTTTCGTTCATGCTCAATATGAAGCGGTATATGTGTAAATTTTCCTATGCGAAACAAAATATAAATATAGTATTGGAATCTCATTGGGCATTTTGTATGCGTTTAAAATGTGTGTTTATGGGGGCAAAATCGTAGAGGTGTAGTTTGGAAACAAGGAACTAATATGGACCAAGAAATCCAAATATGTAATAATATACAGAGGGTTCCATTAAGTAAAAATGCAACTTTGATATAAATCACCCTGTATAACAATTGCAATTTCGTTGAAAATATTTTTAGGCTGTAGCCTGAAGGGTCCTTCGCAACATTCCTCCACAATGAATTTTAAGTATGCGCGTTAATAAACCCACAATCTTCCACCCACACACTAACGGCCCACCCTACTGTATAGTAATCTCTGACGTTTGGATTAATTAATTTGGGAATTCCGGAAATATTGTTAGCGAACGGATTCGCCTTTAACGCCGTAGGAGGATTTTACATTTCGTTCTTTTCTCTTTATTGTAAATACCGCCATTTGCATCTCATTTAATTTCTTCAGGTTTTGGGTAATATTTGTCATATTACAATTTCCATCGACGATTGTTGCATTCATCTATAATTAGCCCTCTTATTTAAGAGGTATGTACATCTTAGTTTATCAAGAAAGAGGGGTTACCTTTAAGTTTCTTTTAGGGTTTTAATTGTAAGGTTCAAGTGTTTGATTTTGAAATCTAGTTTCAATGGACCACCTTACGTTTCGGAGATGTTCCGTGTTCGACATACAAATGTGAGTAACCTTGGATTGAACTCACCATAGCGAGCGCCAACACCTTTGACATATTTTCCACCTGCTGATAACGAGCGGCCATTTTCTGGAATTGGGACACCGGGTCATGAATGACAATCGAACCTCTAGAAAGGACAACTTCCATAACTTTGAGCGTTATTATTATTTACTATTTTTACCCCTTCTGGATTATATGCTGGAGAGAAAAAAACATGCCAAATTAAAAAATGTTTTCTATGTATCCCACAGGAAGAGGAATTCGTTGAGTATATCCAGGTTAACAGATAACGGGGTTCGTGTGTGCGCTGAAGTTAATTATAAGGTGCTCAGCATTGAGTCCAAAGTTTTTGCTGTGGCCAAGAAAGATAGAAAATCTGTGTACACTAAACCACTTTCAGCAAAGTGCCCCAAATCATTGCATCATTTTTAAATCCAGCAGAAACGTTGACTTTTGACACCACTTCTCGCTGACTCAGGGACTGATGTTCTGAAGCGTCACGGCGGCTGGAGATCATCGACCGTAACTTCAGGATGCATTTATTAATTGTGACAATGAGGTTACATACGAATGCAAACAAACAATAAAAATGTTGAACTTCTAAGTCTATTTAAATAGTTTCATTGAACTCAGTAAACGGTTTTGAATTAATTACGACATTGATTGTGCTATTTCGTTTTGTGCTTTTTTTTTGTTTTTTAAAAAATCCTAGTTCTCCTTAGTTCGGTTGGCTATGGTAAATCTTAGTTTTAGACATATCTCCCATTTCACAGTTGTGTTCCACTACATTTTTTCAAACAAAACTCGAAGTGGTTTTAATAGTAGAAACGAAATGAATGGAACATTAGCATGTATAAGAATTTCGGGGTGGATCTTGTAACACGCATTGAAAAGAACAAAATTATCGTTCCAACATTCACACTTAATCAGAAAAAAGTCTGTACTGGAAAAATATCCAAATTTGGAACTTCTAAGTCAGGCACGTTAAACACGCGGCCCGCGGGCCACATGGGGCCCCCCGTTCTGAAACCTGCGCCCCATCACGATTTTTGTAAATTAGAAAATTTACTTGTATCTACCGTGAGTCTTATTTGGGTTGATACTGCAGTGTATTTCAGCTGTTTTTAAAGATAGACTTGCGGTTTTGTGACACGTAGAATACCACAAACAGAACCAATCTAGCTGCGTTAGTTTCTGAGATACAAGGTAAAAAGGAAAAGTTTCTGAGGTTTGACCCAAAGTTGGTATTTAGTAAATGGAACACTTTGTATAGCTTAACGTCAATTTCTTATCATTCCTTTTCCTGATTACATCAATGTAGCACAACCTATTTTTTTTTATTTTAGCGATGAAACAATAAAAACCTTATTTTTTACTTCTTTAAATACTAGGCCATGGATTCATGGAGATTTTGTTTTGTTTATTGTCTCCATTGTAACTACACCAGTCGATGCCAATCAACAAACATGGCTGACGGTACACGTCATTTCAAAATTTTGAAAAATGGTAAATAAATATAGGATGATACATTAATGTAATCAAGAAAAAGAATGCAATACAATTGATGTTAACATACAATACAAGGTGTTGCATTTAAAAAATATCACATTTGGGTCAAATCTCAGAAACTGTTGTCCAAATTTTTTTGACTACGTCACTGGATTCTACGTAAAAATACCTATTAACTTTTTTTCTATCTTACATGGGTAGTCAGATATGACAACATCACAAAAAGTCCAATTTTTCATATTCACCCTATATCTCAGACCTTAGAAACAAACGTAGCTGGAGTGATTCTGTTTGTGGTATTGTTTCACAAAAAAG